CGGCCCGGTGGCTAGGATCAAAGTGTAGTATCTGCGCTTTGTGGGCTGCCGGGTCGGGTGTCTGTCGAACTCTCTGCTTGCAGAGAGGAACCCGGACGAAGCTCCGCCGAAGGGTGGGGTTTCGTTCGGGGAGGTTGACGGAACTAGCCCGCTTGGACGGGTTTAGATGGGTTTTATTTTTGGCTGGACCTACGGGCTCAGACATACCCACATTAAAAAGGCCTTGTGCCACATTCAATTCCTGTGGGTGAATTGATAAATACCATCAGGGAATGTAGTTACTCAATTTACTATTTTTTTTTCTTCATTTGCTCTGGGAATGCGTCTTATACACCCGAACGATTATATGCCGTCAGATACGGTAACGTATAAATACAGAATACCCTTCTTTCTTTCTATTGATGTGCCATGTCATTTCAGGACGGCGATCATGGCTCTCCACCCCCTTCTATCCCTTGCAGGTCTCAACAAGTTCGTTCCCTCTGCTTCTTCCTCCAGAACACGTTCTGTCATCCACTTGCTTAAGTCCGCCAGGTATGCCACGCGTTCTTTTTCCTTGTCTCGCTTTCCCTCTATTCGACACGTGAGTATCAGATTCTCCAGGCCCTTCTTCCTTATTATGTCTCCCAGAAACTTCAGCTGCCTCTTCCTGATATTAAATATAAGCCTCCTCATTGTTTGCATTCTCTCTGAGTCCTCGTCGTTGCTCACGCTGGGTCCATGATATCCTTAGCATCCTTCTGTAGAACCACGTCTCTGTCGCCTCGAGTCTCTTCGTCATCTTTGAGGAAATCGTCCAACATTCACTGCCATAAAGAAGATAAAAGTTAAAAAACAACACAATACAATAGATACAGGGTACTTTGACGTGGTTTAATAGCAAGCTTGTAATGCTAGAACAGTTAAGACTGGGAGATGAGTTTGTTCCTCTCGGAGTGTCACACCGTTTCAGCCTCGTGCCACATATAATCTACCCTTTGAAAGACATTTGGGCACTTCGACCGGGAATAATTAGCAAGCTTGTCTTGTTAGATCAATTACAACTGATCCTCACTGGCAGCTATATCCTTTCGGCTTACCACCTATCTATTAGGCGTTATGATAGTTAAATAAACCGGAAATTCTTACCCATAATACCGCATTCACCAGCATATATAAATAGTAGAACCACCACATGAAAGCCATGGCCTCAAGATGCGTTGAAACATGAAACAGATTTTTGCCCCTGTATTGACTTCTGTGGATACGGTTCAGTATACCACTGCAACTCCTACACTGCACCAGTCTTGGCCTGTCAGCGTGTCTATAGTAATAGTCTACCGGTGTAGAAATGTGCATTTGTAAACTGTTATTAATATTGAAACACCCCATGATGGCTCATGTCTAAGAGAAATTATTCGGAAGGACCATTTATTGCACAATCTAAGCCCCCTACTTAAACGGTTCTAATTGAACAAAAGGAGTACATGTTGGTCTCTGTAGGATGACATTTGTTTAAACTGGGCACATTCACAACGCTGAACCTTAACGCTGCATGAGGCATCCTCTAAATTACAGACGTGCATTCGTATCAATGCTATTACGCCGCACTGATGGCCGAAGACAGAACATTTATCAGAAGCCTTACTCACCACTAGGAGGCATACACTGTAATGCCAGGTCAAAATCGACATCATTCTGCAGGATGTCGTCTATGTGGAGAAAAAATAAGAGAGAAGAGTGTTGAGATATTAAGAAAGAGGGTAAGAGAGGGAAAGAGAGAGAGAGAGAGATATATATATATATATATATATATATATATATATATATATATACCATTTATTAAAAATAAATAGCTTTAATTAAATTCTCAAACCTAAACAAAACTGTTAAATACGTGATATAAACAAATTTTTACTACGTTAATAAATAAATAAATAAAGAAAGAAAAAAATAAAAAAAAAAAAATAAAAACGAGCAATATAATTTGACCCAAATAAATAAACAAAGCGACTTCCGGCAAAAAATAACCGCCATAATAGAATACCCACAATGCACCACTAACCCGTATATATATAAATAGCCGAGAAAAAAAACAACAGCATATGTGGCCTGACGATTGCATATAGCATGAAACAGACTGTCGCCTCTAAGTGTTGACTTCTATGTTCACTTTTATATTTACACACGCTCTATCTCGGATATTGAGCACTTTATCCCATAAATATAGCACACCTTAAGACTATATTTCTTTATATATATATATATATATATGTGTGTGTGTGTGTGTGTGTGTGTGTGTGTGTGTGTGTATGAATCTGGTCACCTGAAGATTGCGACAGCGTGAAACTTGAGTGGTGAATCGGGCTGTCATGGGGTGAGTGTTGACGCTGTGAAGTGTTTTTTGGTCTGTCTAGATAGTGTAGGCGTTGAGTAGATTAATTTACTGCGTAGTAAGGTGTTTTCGTTTTGGGGTCTTTCTTTTTCTTGCATTATTCGAAATTATCTAAGATATTAATTCGTCTGTCAAATTGTCTATTGCTCACACCAACACTGCTTTTTAGCATATATATATATATATATATATATATATATATATATATATATATATATATATATATATATGAATGAATAGCTATAATTATCTTCCCAAACTAAAACAAAATTATTAAATAAGCGATATAAACAAATTTTTACTACGTTAATAAAAACACCGATTAAAATAAAAATGAAAAATAAAAAAAACAAAAAAAAAACAAGCAAAATAATTTAACCCACATAAATAAACAAATAAATGACTTCCGGTAAAATAACTGCCAAAATAGACTACCCATAATGCACCACTGACAAATATATATAAATAGCCGAGAAAAATAACAGCACTGGTGGCCTGACGATTGCATCTAGCATGAAACAGACAGTCGCCTTTAAGTGTTGACTTCTATGTTCACTTTTACATTTACACACGCTCTATCTCTGATATTGAGCACTTTATCCCATAAATATAGCACATCTTAAGACTATATTTCTTCATATATATATATAATATATATATATATATATATATATATGTATACTGGGGAGAAGATAATATATGTATATATTTATTTATAGCGTATATATATATATATATATATATATATATATATATACTGGTTACGCCGAATTGAATAAGTTACAGCCGTCATGTCTGCTTATCTTGATCATAATGCTTTCATATTCACGAATATTTTTCCGTATATTACAGTTAAAAGAGACAAGGCATGCACAGTAACAGTGAGAATCACTTTTATTACCCAAGTACTTTTCATCACTTTCTCAGATAATCCACAGGGCTGCGTTTATATGGTATGGCTGACAGTTAAACACAAAAGAAAATAATCAGTAATAGATAGATAAACTTAGTTTTTGCCTTACCAACTCAAACCCTCGTTTTCTCAAAAATGTATTGCTGGTTGTATTTTTCATAGTGTTTTGACCCAAGTCTGGAGATTAACTAATTGCCCATAGTTGGGATCTTAACAGTTGCTACCACTCCGGGTCAGGTTGGGCCTGGGAATTACAGCAAGTAATATGTGGCTCCATGCTGCTCAAATCATGATGGCCTGTGGGTTGAGAAAGGAAAAGAAAAGACAAAATGGCGCCTTGCTGCCAGATGTAGTTTATCGTCATACCCTGGGCGTTGCCTGTGATGAAAAATATATAATTCATATATATATATATATATATATATATATATATATATATATGAATGAATAGCTATAATTATCTTTAAAACAAAATTTTATGTTTAACAAATTTTTTCTTTTTTTTAGATACAAGCAAAATAATTTACATAAATAAACAAATAAATGCTCTGTTTATAATAAACAGTATTAAATAACATTTACCGGCCTGAATGTCCGATAAAATTTACACTCAGAAAATATTCGTCCTTTGACAGGATTCGAACCTGCATCCTATACGGAACCGTCATTTACGCTGACGTGCCTTACCGATCGGCCAATAAAAGGCGTTCGGTGAATGTGATAAATTTTCAAGGTCGAATTTACTGCTTATAAACTTCAATCTTTTATGAATCTCGTACATTCATAACTGCCTACCGAACGCCGGTAAATGTTATTTAATACTGTTTATTATAAACAGAGCATTTACTTAAATACTTGTATCTATAAAAAAGAACGTTAAACATAAAAATGTCTTTAATATATATATATATATATATATATATATATATATATATTTCTTATCCTGATAATGTTCATTTCTTAATATATATATATATATATATATATATATATATATATATATATATATATATATATATATATGTATGTATGCTTGCTTGCCTGCCTGCGCGCGTGTGTGAGGGAAGGTAGAGAGAGAGATAGAGAGAGAGAGAGAGGGAGAAAGACAGAGAGAGACAGTGAGAGAGAGAGAGAGAGAGTATTTTGTAATCTAGAAAGGGTTACTGAATGAGGAATAACCAAAACAGAGTTTGGAAATGCAATGTTAATCTTTATAACATCAACAAAATACAATACTCGCCAGCGGCGTGGAGTAGGTAAACCACTGCTAGTAGGGGACTACTTAGACAGCATATTGCGATACTTACTTGCCTCCCCACGAGGTAGGATGCGGAACAAGTCCAAATTTAATGTGGATAAATCCGAGCCCCTTGGCTGAGGGAAAAATTAGCGGTAGACCCCGCGTACGCGGGATCGGGTATCTGTCTACCTCCGCGGACGAGTCTCTACCCTTCGGCATAGCCTCGTCCGGGTTCCTCTCTACCCAAAGGCAGAGTGTTCGACACGGCAAGATCTTCCCGCGCTGGCAGCTCACGCTGAAAGCTGAGGCAGCAGATTTCTCCCCACTTACAATAGTGTCCAACGTATTTATAAGGTTTAGGACATACCCATTAGTGTTCATAGTTACGGTATATAACAGAGTGAGACGGGGAGAGAGATAGAGAAAGAGAAATACTAACGATTCGGAGAATAAAGGAGAAAGGCAAAAAGTATATGTATACTAGGGAAGTGCTGGGTAGAAAAGTAAGGAGCAATGACCGAACTGTGTCAAGGATTCATTTTGTCCGATGTAATTACAAATTACTTTTCCCTTTTACTACTCAGCAAGCCGAACGAATGCGTGTTAGATCAAATAGTCAAGTATTTTATCATTTCGACATGTTAAATTTTGCATTTCTGCGATAGAACAGCTGGGTGTCATTTTAATTGGCTTAAAATATTTCTATTTATCTTTCACAGCCTATTTCTTTCTTTCTTTCTTTCTTTCTTTCTTTCTTTCTTTCTTTCTCATTCTTTTCATATTTCTATTTATCTTTCACAGCTTCTTTCTTTGTTTCTATCTATCTATCTATCTATCTATCTCAATCCATTATACTTCTGTAATAGACTATTCATTATCTATCTATCTATCTATCTATCTATCTATCTTAGTCTGTTCATATCTATCTATCTATCTATATATCTACCTATTTATCTATCTTAGTCTGTTCATATCTATCTATCTATCTATCTATCTATCTATCTATCTATCTTAGTCTGTTCATATCTATCTATCTATATATTTACCTATATATCTATCTATCTATCACAGCCCATTCCTATCTATCTATCTATCTATCTATCTATCTATCTATCTATCTCATTCTGTTCATAGTTCAATTTATCTTTCACGGCCTCTTTCTTTCTTTCTATCTATCTATCTATCTATCTATCTATCTATCTATCTATCTATCTATCTATCTATCTATCTCATTCTGTTCACATTTCTATTTATCTTTCGCAGCCTCTTTCTTTGTTTCTATCTATCTATCTATCTATCTATCTATCTATCTATCTATCTTGACACGTTCATGATATATATGCACGTGTCAGGATGAACGCTTAAATATTTTCAAATTTTTAAAAGCAGACTTAATAACAAAATATGAGGTATTTCCGTAATAATTATATAATCTTAATTTATGTTAAATTTCTTAGAATAATTCTGATGATAAGACAATAATATTTCTTAGTCATTGCCGATGCGTTTCGTCAATCCGACTTTATCAAGGCAAGTTTAAAAGCGAAATGTTTTTAATTACATTAAATTCAAATATAAAGGGAACGCTCCTGTGTAAGCCTCTTTCTAGATGTTCGTAACATCTTTTTTTTTTGACTAAGAAATATATTTTCGATTTGTCTTCTTTTTATCCAATCTAATATATATTAAAATCTTTCGCAGCCTCTTTCTTTGTTTCTATCTATCTATCTATCTATCTATCTATTAGAAATGGATTAAATCCGAAAAATATTTTAATATATATTCTGTTTGTACGTTATTTTTATGGATACAACTTATTAAAAATAATAAATTCACTGTTTTAGTTAAACAGTATTAATTACATTTATTGGTCTGAATGTTCGCAATATTATGCGTCCTTCGACAAGAAACGAACCTGCATACTATAAGGACACCTTCATTTGACCTGACATGCTGACAGTTCCCTTATGGGATGTTATATTATATATATATATATATATATATATATATATATATATATATATATATATATATATATATATATATAATGTGTGTGTGTAGTCATCCACAGACAGACTGTTTTGCTGTATCACAGCTCATCAAAGTGACTAGACAGCCAATTGCTTCAAGCCGGAATCGAAACCCGAGCGATTTGGCATCAGTCAGAGATTCTATCCCCAAGTTATCGTCGCACAATAGAGGTAAGAAATTCAAGTTCGAGAGACAAGTAATAATATTGATAATGAGACTTTTTTATTATTTAAAATCATTACAAATGACTAAAAATGAGATATTTCCGTATATTCTGATAGTTTTGGTCTAGCTGCTTGCCACAATTAGGCTTGTAGACGACTTATAGAAGACTTTTTTCTGGATTCACTGAGTACGCCGCAAATTTATTTTCATTATATATATATATATATATATATATATATATATATATATATATTATGCAGTCGTCTATACAATTTATATTAAAGTATGGTCGTACATAAGAATTCTTACGATGCGAGCAATTTCTACGAAATTTTATTGTTATTTTCGTAATTATTGTATGATTTGCCTTTGCCGTATTTAGTACCAGTTACCCACGAGTCCAAACAAGAGTCTTCAAGGGGCGACAAAATTCTTCCAGCAGTATATGTAAAAAGATGTAATTGTGGTCATTCTAGCGAGAGAAATCGACGCAAGTTGTGAGAATTACCAATGATATGATTTTCTGTAATCGACTCATTTTAGGTCTACTAATCATTCAACACACACATTTGTTTGCTCTTTTTGATATCCTTCCTGAAGTCCGACTAACAGCAGGTAATGTTGTTGTCTTGAGGTGCAACATTGTAAGAATCTGGTAAAAAAAATTAGTTGAATCTTCATAGGTCAATTGTCATCGATGCTAGGCTGGTCGGCCGTTACTATTGACTAGTGATTTCTTTTCATTTTCGAATGACCCATACAAAAGTCAGCATTAAATAACTAAACAATTCTTGGCATCTAAAATCACCCAGCCTAACCTAACTTAACGAATTTTCTTGTCTATGTAAAAGAGAACGCATGTTTGGAAACAAAAGGAAATACTACTAAACATTTATGATCTAGCGTTTCAACAATACTTCTGGCCATTCTCAAGATCGAGAAGAAACTGTTTTCTCATCCTAACTTTTATGGCAAGGTTTAAAAGAGTGTAATAGCTTTTTTTAAATCATTGTAGTCTCTGCGAAGTTAGACAGTTGTACGGACGCTAACTTTTATTATATTTGTAAGATTTACACTTAAAAAGGGGAAAATTAACTATTAGGGGTTATTGAATGAAAATACCGATGCAGTTTTCTCTTGGGTACTTGTAGACGAAATCTAACTATGAGAACTTAACACTAAAAGTACAAAAATGAAAGCAAGGTGGGCAGAAGGGAACATCGAGTAAGCTAACTAATTTAGATGGATGACAGAACAGAGACCTGGAGAGGTGATAAAGAGTCAAATGTTGATTAGAGCTGGAAGAGATAGGGAGTTAGGGAGAGCAATAATCCCCGACGTTCTGATTCGGTGTTCAAAACTACAATTCCAGTGTTGTTTCTCTCACAGTAATCTAGCAAAGTATTATTTTCTCATGTTGTGGCATTCAGTATATCTATCTATCTATCTATCTATGGACTGACGTCAAATTGGTTGGGTTTAAATCCTGGCTTGAAGCATTCGCATGTCTAGCCACACAGATGAGCTGTGACACAGCGAAATAGTCTGCATGTGACTGACGGTATATATATATATATATATATATATATATATATATATATATATATATATAGTGTGTGAAAACACGATTTCAAAACCCATGCCAAATTCACTATAATTAAGAGAATAGAAAAGTTCAGAGCAGATAACATTAGAAAGATTTCAGAGTTCCATGAAAATAAGTGGATACAACGTCTAAAAACACAATATCTAGCCGGGCTAAACCATAAATGTAACAATATAGATAGTACTAATATATAACTCAACAAATCAAAACCTACCCACATTTCTCACCCACACAAGACAGACATGCTTACGGAGGTGTTGAGGCCTCACACTTATACACACACCCACACGAATATATACACACTTACACACATCATACTCACTCACTCCCTAATGAGCCAAATGGTAACACACACCCACAGCAATACACACGCTTACACATATCATACTCACTCACTCCCTAAGAACCAAATAACACACACACAAACACTAAACAGAGACACATCCCCTCTCCAGGACCAATAAAACTGTCCAACTGACCAAAGGAATTCAGACAAGCATAAATCCATCCAGCTCTTATCTCAAATAACAACTTAAAAGAGACTGTTTGACCAACACAAGGAATGTTAAAAGATTCATGTTAAAAAGATAAAAAAATAAAAAAAACAAATGAAAACTACAGACAAAAGTTCATTTTCTCCATCAAGACATTCATTTCTGTAGTTTACTGCTACCAGCAAGCAGAAATATTTCTTATCCCGATGATGGCCATTTTGGCCGAAACTAGTCAAGAAATCTAAATGAAATAATAATAAAAAAACAAAAACGAAAGAATATTAATCTACAACCCAGTGTGTCTGAAGATTTTAAATTTTTAATATTTTTTTGTTGTTCAATATATATATATATATATATATATATATATATACAAAGAGAGAGAGAGAGAGAGTGTGTGTGTGTGTCTGAGAGAGAGCGAGACAGAGTCTAGTATGGCTGGTGGCACTGGATCGTCGCGAAACCTCGATAATGAAAGCAATACAATGCATGTATAGACAAAAAGATAGTTAGATAGAGATATAGATAAAAAAGGTCGATGTTATTTATTTAACTTATATTCAATCAAATGTAATATTTTACAATCAGTAGATATTACAAATGTATATTTTAGCTCAGCACAAATCTGTTTTAGTGGTGTACCCATTCATTTCCAAACAGTTTCAAAATAAAATCTACTTGCTTTATGTTACATGTCAAGGTTACTTTTTTTTTTATCTTAGATTCAAAAAAATGTACTCTTCTCCAGTCAGTATAAATTAAAAAGTATACCTAGTGTAGCACAAATCTGCTTTAGTACCTACTAAATAATTCCTAAACTGTCTACAAGTATAAATAGTAAAACATCTACCTGCATTATATCACATATCAAGATTATTTAAGGTATATTCAATAAAATGTGATATTTTCCAATCGGTAGATATTACAAATGTATAATTTAGTTCAGCACAAATCTGCTTTTGTGGTGTACCCATTCATTCTCAAACAGTTCCAAAAGGAAACACAGTGAATATTCTACCTGCATCACGTCACATGGCAAAGGTAATTTTTACCTCATATTTAACAAAATGCAATCGGTTTTCAACCAGAAGATATGAAAAATGTAAACCTTGTCTAACTTAAATCTGCTTTAGTACTTACCAAATTATTGGCAAGCTTCTCTCCAAGGATAAATAGTGAAATATCGACCTGCATAAAGTAACATCTTTTTCCTTCTCTGTGATGTGACCTTTCAAGACGTAGGCGAGCATGCCTTATGCCCCTTTCTATTTTTGTATATTCGCTGAACTTTAACTTTTTTTCAATAAAATTCAATCTTTTTCTATCAGCAGGTATTAACACACTCTACCTTAGGCGAGCATAAATCCATTTAAATGGTGTACCCATTCATTCCCAGCCTGGACTACAGTGATACAGAAGTGAAAAATAACCTTCATTACGATACATGTCAAGGTTTTTTTGTTTTTTTTAACTTAGTGTGCAATGTTGTGGAGATCCATCAGTACATTCTCCCTGGAAAATCGAAAGTACGTCGCTAACAAAATGATCTTCAGCAAGAACCTGTACAATTTTTTTTTTTTTTTAGTTGAGCTAAATGGATGTGATCACGGCCGTCCACTTTGCAAGCAGAAATCACTACGCGAGGCAGTGATGAGTTTATCAAATAATTCCTCGATGGAACGCTCCCAAACCTTTTATTTAAATTCAAAGAAAATGTCTCATTTATTCGATCCAACTTAATTAGGAAATAATTGATGTAAATGCAGCCATGAAAATTATCGGAATCCTAACAGACGTTCAGAATGGCACGAACAAATACAAAGCAAGAAATATGGAATTTAATTGGTGAAAGGAAAAAGATTCCTGAATCGAATGAAAGAAAAATCTTATTAATTATTTCTCTAATTATACAATTAATTTATAAAAATGGATTCTTGAACCGAAATATGAAGGGGAAATTAAAATAAAACTCTATCAGTGTACGTGTATCTCTCTGTCACGCTCTCTTTACCTATACTTCTTTTTCTTTCTGTCTCTTTTTTCTGTCTCTATCTCTATCTATCTATTTTATTATATAAGCATTGTTGCTGAAAATTTCCCGGTCTGACCTAGATTTCCCGCTGCAAATGTGTTTTGTTTTGTCATTTTGTCAGATTTTGAAAAAAAATGATTCACGGTATTTAATATCCCACCCACGAGGAATATATGTGACACAAGGCCGAGTTTAAAGTGTGGTTTCTTCGAGCCCGTAGGCTCGGCCAAAAATATACCCTTTGGACCTGACCTGACTAGACAGGTTCAGGGACTGTCTACCTCAGCTAATTTTGTAATACTCTTTCAGGTCCTTTCGTAATACACTTTCGTGTAATTTCGTAATACTCTTTCAGGCACCTAGCTTCGTAATACACTTTCAGGTACCTACCTTCACAATACTCATGTGCATCAATTACT